CCGTCATGACAATTATTAATTCTGACAGAATCCAAAACCTGCGTGTCTTACGAATTTTCTGTCTTCTGCGAAAAAATATCTTTCTTCGTAAATGAAAATAAGATATTTACCCATTATTCTTTTGTTAAAAAAAATAATGTCGCTCGGTATGTCTTTCGTAATAGCTCTTTCTTGCCTTAAGTATTTCTCGTTTTCAATTTCCATGCTTAATTAGTTAACCAATTACCATAGCTAAATAGTGTCACACAGGATACGGATGTAGTTTATCGTCATACCCAGGACACGGATGTAGTTTATCGTTTTACCCAGGACACGGATGTAGTTTATCGTCATGTCCAGGACGCGGATGTAGTTTATCGTCTTACCCAGAACACGGATGTAGTTTATCGTCATACCCAGGACGCGGATATAGTTTATCGTCTTACCCAGGACGCGGATGAAGTCCATTTATTAAGACTGAAAAATTCAATTGTGTACAAATTCTCTTTGAAAATAAATGAATCCGTCATAACAGGACTCCCTAGCATTCGGCGGCAACCACTCTATGAGAAGGAAATCTCTAAATTAGGAATGAATTTAATCATTCTACACTTGAAATGGCTAGATGTTTTATTTTTTCTTCTTTATGTGCAGTATCTGTGCAGGCGGTAGTAAATAATGGCTCTCCACAACATCCTGTCCTTTGTAGTTCTTACTAAAATCTGTCTTTTTGTGATTTCATCTTTTTACTTCTCCTAAATTCCTGCTTCACCATCCATTCTTTTTCTATGTGCCGAGTCATGGCTCTCCACAATTTCCTTAATTCTAATTGTAGCTCTTAATAGATTTGTCTTTTTGTTATCGCTTCTAAAACTAGTTCTGCTATCTGTTTACTTCTTCTATGTGCCGTGTCCCTTCAGGACGTAGGTGATCATGGCTCTCCACAATTTCCTGTCCTATATAGCTCTCAATAAATTTTGTCTTTTTGTTATCTCTCCTAAATCTTGTTCCACCATCCATTTACTCAAGCTCATTCTTCTTCTTCTATGTGCTGTGTCCCTTCAGGACATAAGTGATCATGGCTCTCCACAATTTCCTGTCCTTTGTAGCTCTTAATAAATTTTTTCTTTTTGTTATCTTTCCTATACCGTGTTCTGCCATACATTTACTCAAGCTCATTCTTCTTCTATGTGCGGTGTCCCTTCAGGGCGTAGGCGATTATGGCTCTCCACAATTTCCTGTCCATTATAGCTCTTAATAAATTTAGTCTTTTTGTTATCTCTCCGAAACCTTGTTCCGCTATCCATTTAATCAAACTCATTCTTCTTCTTCTATGTGTCGTGTCCCTTCAGGACATAGGTGATCATGGCTCTCCACTATTTCCAGTCCTTTGCAGCTCTTAATAAATTTTATCTTTTTCTTATCTCTCCTAAACCTTATTCCGTCATTCATTTACTCAAGTTCATTCTTGTTCTTCTATGTGCTGTGTCCCTTCAGGACATAGGCGATCATGGCTCTCCACATGTTCCTACTCACTCTGTGGGAACTAAACTCAGAAATGCTATGTCATCAAATTCACTATTCAGCTCTTCAGTAAAATATGCCATTGTCCTTTGGGACAATGTACTACCCAGTGGCATAAACCGAAATTGTCTGCTGCTAAAACTGCTTCTCACACTCGTTTGCATTCCACGCGGCTCCCTTGGTTCAAATTTACCATGTCATCAAATTCATCATTAATAGATTATGCTATTGTCTCATGGGACAGTCCCGAGTTTCGATTGCATTCTACGAGGCAGTCCTTATTAAAAGTTACTCACATCAAATTCATGAATCAAGTTATTAATAGATTATGCTTTTGTCCTGTAGGGCAGTCCCGAGTGTATATTGCCTTGCACGAGGCATTTCTTGTCACAATTACTCTCATCGAATTCATCAATGAATTCTTTAATAGATTATCTTATGGGACAGTCTCGTGTGTAGATTGTAGTCCACGAGGCATCCCTCGGTAACAAATATTGTCACCGAATTCTTCAATGAAGACTTTCATAGATTATGCTATTGTCCTGTGGGACAGTCCCGTGTCTCGAGTTCATTGCATGAGGCACCCTCTGTTAAAAATTACTCCAATCGAATTCATGAATCAACTATTTAATAGGTTATTCTATTTCCCATGGGACAGTCCCGAGAGTAAATATCATTCCACGACCCTCCTCCTGTTGTCACTGAAAGAAATAATCACAGTTTCTATATCATCAAATTCACGTAACAACGCTTTAGTTAGTTTTGTATCAAATTTTATCGGTCATTTACTACCAAAATTTTATTTTCTTGGTAGCTTTGAAATAGTAAAAATATTTTATTCTGCTTTCACAGTTGACTACATGGTAGATGATACTCAGCTTTTGGGCATATACATGTTTATGTCGACATAATTACTAGAGGTTGTGATATGTGTGTTTTATGTTGTAGTTTTGTTGATGTTTCATTTTGGAATATAGTTTAATTGATTTAAAAAATTCTGTGACCGAAATCTATTGCTGGTACTAGTTTTTTTACAAATATGTATTACTGGTAATTTTTACTATAAAACATATTTTTATACTTTCGTAGACTTTTTACTTCTTTTTGGGAGTTATCTATTTGCTTATAGTTTGAACCGTAACAGATGGTAACTGGTAAAAAGCGTAATTGTGAGGTTGGGGATTCACGTCCTCAAAACCTTTCAATCAGAGGCCTTGCTGCCGGATGTAGTTTATCGTCATGCCGAGAAAACACGCTTTAGAACTTTATGCGATTGTACTGAGGGACAGTCCGAAGTGTAAACCAAAACTGTCTGCATCTGAAACTGCTTGTCACAGTTGACTGAATTCCATAACGCTCTTTTTTTGATTTTACTTTTTATATTGTTGGAGCTTTGCTGTCAGTTCTCTCTTTTCATTAAGGAATCTCGTATAATTCATTGGCTAGTCCTTCTAAGATTCTCAGAGCATAACATATGATAATGCCAAATACTTATTTACAGTCGGATATAATAATTCAACAGTAATTAATATTAACCCTTCACCAGAAGAAATTCAAACAGAAAAAAGGAAAGCCTCTACCTTGTTGCTGTAATGTATGTGTAATTGTAACTGGAGGCCATTGACGCAATACGATCTTTTTATTAGCTTTATTTTAATATTTTTTATTCTAGTGCTGACACTTGCACGAACTTAACAATGAGCGACCCATCTTGTAGCTTGATACATTTGCACGTGAATAGAATTGAATACAAAAGCGTCAAGTGGGTTGCACTAAAACTTTAGGTATTCAAAGCTCAATTTGTAACATGATAGACGGGATTCTAAGTAAATTGCGTGACTGATTGATTTGATTATGTGAACATTGTTCGAAAAACAATTCTTTGAAAAACAATTATTCGAATTGTAAATTGTTTGAATGAAAATTAATCAAAAGGACAATTATACAAAACGATAATTATTCACAATGTAAAATTCTCTATTGCAATAAAAATGTAAAAATTAAAGGAGAAAATACAGAAAATAATTATTCGAAATCCAAAAATATCGTTAATAAAATAAATTTAGTAAGAAACAATCCTTATAATCCTTATTTATATAATATTGCACGCAAATAGTTAACAACTGAAGGATGCCACTCGTTAAAGGATGTCACTAATTTTTAAGTTTTCCATTTACGTCGCAGTATTTTTTTGCAGTCATGATATTTTGGAAACCTGCTCTTACTTTTGCAATATGAATTTCTTGCAGGTTCTGTCCTCTTTTAAGAACGTCTAAGAATTTTCATATTGTGTGATGTTGAATTTACATTTGCTGCAAAAAAAGCCCTATGCCTAGGGCGTTATTAGTTCTAAGTAAATTAGCACTGACACTTTCAAAGCAAGGCCGCATACATATTTCAAATATAGATATTTCAAATACTTATCATTTAGTATAATTGTCCTTTCGATTAGTTTTCTTTCAAACAATTTAATCCTTATTGACTAATTTAAATCTGAAACATATTTTGAATCGTAAAAGAACAATTCTTTATTTAATTGAATTTTGTACAAACTGCTACTGAAGAATTGGCTACCAAGTTTAAGTCTTAGACTCTCACCTGCGTCCTGGGTATGACGATAAATTGCATCCGCGTCCTGGGTAAGACGATATACTACGTCCAACAGCAAGTCCTCTGATCAGGAGGTTTTGAGGAGCGTGGAACCACCTCTTAATTGCTGGTGTTCCCAGGTCCACCCTGACCCAGGGTGGTAGCACCTGTTAGGGTCCCAACTATAGGCAAATAGTTGACACTACAACCAGACTCAAAACACTATGAATGTGTAAAAATAGATTTTAATACCAAAAATAAAAAATACTTTAAAAAATAGTATCAATAATAAATATTTGTAAAAAGAAAATATTACCAGAAATAAAAATTTTGTCAGCATTAAATAACCCATTGAGGTTAATATGCCACAAAACAAACCAAACTATACATTAAAAAAAAAAAAAATATTACGAGCTATACATTTTGGAAAAAAAATGAAATTTTGTCGGCATTAAATAAGCCATTGTGGTAGATATGCCATAAAACAAAATAAACCAAACTCTCGTCTCTTGGCTGATACGTGTTTTACTTTTTAACCCATAACGGGGGAGAAGATATTGATTAATTCCTTTTTTAAGGGTATTTACGCGTAAGCGAATATAATGAACCCGACTGGAATTCAAACTCGGCTCTTGTATTTCCAATTCCGAGCAGCTATCCTTTACACTACCGCAATTTTACCGCATTTGGTATTCCTAAGCGGTTACCCATTTAGCTACTAACCTGACCTGACGTTGCTTAATCGCACGAGAATTGATGCTTCAACATGATATTGCCGTAAGACAAACCACCCGTAAATCCATGCTTAAAGCATCTGATATTCCCAAGTACTGACCAATCTCAACTTTAACTTCGGGGTTTCAAAGTTATATGGCGGTAAGTCATGCCTGCTGCAAATTCAAGATTATAATACCTGTTAATCTCAAGCGGTCACCCATCTAGGTACCGATTAGCCTCGACGTTGCTTAACTTCAGTGGTCGTACGAGAACTGCCCTTTCAATGTGATATGGCCGTAAGACATATCAGCCGCACATCGAAGATGACAGCACCTGGTATTCGCAAGCAGCCATCTAAGTACTGACCAGGCCCAACCTTGCTTAACTTCAGTGATCGTACGAGAAAGGTTTCAATGTAATATAGTCGTAAGCCATACCAACCGCACATCCAAGAATACAGCATCTGATATTGCCAAGCACCTATCTAGGCTCACTTAACTTCAGTGATCGTACGAGAAAACGTTGATTAAAGAAAAATTATATAAACGTATATAAGTAAAGGTTAACATCGGTACGGCTCAGCGGAGACAGAGTGAAAGACTTTTTCACACTCCCGATTCTTCAACAGACAAAACGAGAGATGATTTTAAGTAACATAATCTTTAACAGTTCAATTTTTACACTAATTTGAAATCGTTTAAAAATCTCTACATAAATATATGGATGGGTTGAACGGATAAATTAATTATTAAACAGGGAAAGGTAATATATTTAGTAAATACTAGACCACCTATTCTTTTAAAATCAGTTCATGATACAAAATGATGAGGTAACAATATTATCAATTATTAATTATATAATATATTTAATTATTATAATATATATATTAAAGTCGTTTTTAAAGATTAGGCGAAAGAAGGTTTATTGCTCCAATGGGTTTTTTATAGTTAATACGTTGCATGAAATTTTGGAGTAATAGCTTAAAACAGGTGTAGTCTTTTTCAAAATAATAAGTATATATATATATATATATATATATATATATATATATATATATATATATATATATATATATATACCTATTAGTTAATAATAAGTACATATTTCCTGCCCAAAAAACGAATGAAAAACCCCGAAATATTTGCCTTAATGCAAATATATCCTGATTTAAAGTATGAAAATAGATTATTTTACGCTATCAATAAATATATCTCTCTATATTTCTGAGATGAGGTATTATGTACACTATTTGCATTATTCGGACTATTGTCCTCATCTTTGTCGCCATATTTATTACAACGTTTCGGCCGTTGTACATTCCAGCCTTCTTCACGTGGTTGGAATGTCGAACTGGACCATTTATTTCGCTCATTAGGGTAGACTAGTTCCACGTGCCATGTTTAATGGATGTCAGTTATCAGTTATCTCCTGTTAATTCTCCAAGTTCTCCACTGCCTTAACCGGGTATTGAACACACACTCTTTGGGTCCTGTCACTGGATCTAACCAACGCCTTTATCCACTGTGCCATGTGCCATGTATTCTCAAGTTAGTTAGCAGCGAGCGAAATAAAAGGTTCAGTTCGACATTCCAACCACCTGAAGAAGGCCGGAGTGTACAACGGCCGAAACGTTTTAATAAATATGGCGACAAAGTTCGAATAATGTAAATAGTATCAATAGATATATGTTTATATAATTCATTTTATTGAAAAGATGAAATTCTTCTATAAGATGTACTTTGAATAGAAAATTAATAATCATTGTAAAGACGTATAGGAAGGTTTATTCTTCCACTGGGTTTCATAGTTAACAGCTTACGCGGAAATTTGGTGTCATAGCTTAAACACATCTTTTTTCAGTGAAGTAAGTATATTTTTTATTATACATATTTGTTTGTCGCATTTGTTTCAAAATATGTAAACAAAATACGGCAACAAACCAGCTTGCATTTATTTTTATACCATCATGACCTTTCACACACACACACATATATGTGTGTGTTTTTATATATATATATATATATATATATATATATATATATATATAGATACACCTAGTGAGCCAGACAAACCTACCTAGGTTTCGAAACGAGTCTAGTTATCTATATTTATAGTTATCTATCTATCTATCTATCTATCTATATATATATATATATATATATATATATATATATATAGCTGGCAACTTTTCGGGATACCCGTCTAAGAGGGCGGCTGGCCAATCCCTATTGGAGACGCTTGCTCAGGCTTATTTGTGTTTATTCAATCCCCACAGAGCCCACCTGTGGTTTATACTACAACTATGCTGGGCAGACCTTAGTTACAGTTTTCTGGGAAGAGCGTGATTAACAATTGGGACAATTGTGACTTCGGTTAGCACAACTATCGACGGCCCCCAAGTTTTCTGTCTAACCAATTTCACTCATAAGGCTTGGTATGGTTTTCAGGCACTTTCCAAAATGTGCCGCACGCTATAGGCAACAAATCCGATAACATCAGGAAGTCTCCTTCCCGACAAATCGACCATGGTGAGATTCGAACCTGGGACTCATGTTCATGGTCAGAATGCATATGTTCTCGTCACTCGGCCATATATAGTCTCTTCATCTTTCAAGTAGATTTTTTTATAAAAAAAAAAGTTCTACTGTAGTGTAAGGAATTGTATAAATATATGTTGTCTTATATATATTTAAATTTATTTAATAATGTTGTTATATGTTTTATGTATGTTGATTATTTTTGTACACACGTAATTGTTGGAATATACAATTGTTTGTTTATATACCTCATGCAAGAATGTGTATCAAAAAACAAATACTGAATGCGGTAAAAACAAAAGAAAATATCCCTAGCTAAAGAACTCTTTTTTCTAAATTTAATTAAATTTTCCACTGCAGTCAGGGAGGCGTTCAAGGTACAGTATACTCTAAATTGTTTCGGGTATTATGTATAGGTTAAGCTTTATCTCAGGAAGATAAGTTTAGATTTTTAGTATTTTATGGATTTTTCAGGAATTTTCTGTTTTTTTAAAATATTTTTTTCAATTTCTAAGTTATTTATTTAAAAAATATATGGATCATTTTCTTCCATTTTCTTTTCTTGCTCAGTGTTCCATCGAAAATTCACTTTAATGAATTTAATGAATAACAAATATTACGTCAATTGGAAAACAATGTCCGTTTTTAGAATGTACATTTATTCCTGATTTAATGTATTTAAACAGAATCTGAATCAATCAAAATAGGAACTCTGGACATCTAGACATTTTCTGTCAAGGTTATTTGTTTTGACGATAAAATTTGGACGTTTAGAAATCTTTGAATGTAGTTTCTGTATGTTTTCTGCAAAAGAATGTCTTTTGGGTTAAAAGAAATTGTCAAGATGCTTGAAAAAGTGGTAGTCTGTGGGTGAGAGATCAGGAAAACATGGTGGATGGGACAAAATCTCGTGTCCGTAGTCAGTGAGCATGAGCCTGGCAACATATGGCCAGGTATTGTCACGATCCAGACGTAGACCTCGTCGATTAATCAGTGCCGGTTGCATTTTGCTTAACTCAATCGACAATTCATCCAGTTGCTCTTCGACGGGGAGATTAAGATCTGCTGCAGCGAAAGTTTGAAACAGAATTTATGCATTTTGCTCTTAGTGAAGGAGATCTTGCAACATTGAATGGCGAACGTTTAAATCATTTCACTCCAAGTAAGGCAATAAAGCCACTACAACACAAAAAATTACTGTATTAGAGAATATGAATAAAAATACAATTAAGGAGAGAGGACATTAAAAAACAAGAATAAAAAAAAACAGAATTTAACGATTGACATTGTATTTATTTTTTGAAGATCAAATTTGACTAGGAAGCCATAATCCGGAAGAGAGTTCCACAAGTAGAAAGAAGGCCTCTTATCAGGAGGTTTTGAGGAGCGTGGAACCACCTATTAATTGGATGGTAGCACCTGCGAGGGTCCCAGCTATGGGCAAATAGTTAACCCCTGAAATGGGCTCAAAGCACTATGAAAGTGGAAAAATAAGTTTTAATACCAGCAATACATTTTTATAAAAAAATTATTACCAACAATGAATTTTTGAAGAAAAAAAAATGTCTGTATATCTAAGATGAGGTATTATGATTACTTATATTATTTACATTAATCGGACTTTTATCCTTATCTTCAGTGTAAGATTTTAGATTAATATTTGAAACAAAAACAAAACATTTAAACATCCAGAAAATCGCTGTCAAATAAGCTTGGTAGTCCATACATCTGACTTTTGTGAGCAACACGAAATGTCAGTTGGAAATTCGCCCTTACATTGAATACTGCCGCCATATCTGGTCTGCTGCTCCTGCTGTTCATCTCCAGATTCTTGACCACATCAAAAGGACGTGTAATATAACCTAACATCTCATCTTCCCTCATTTTCTCACCAACATGACGTGGCTTCACGCTGTTTTTTCTAAAAATATTTTTTTAAAAATCGGTATCACCCCATGCAAGGCAGGAAAGCCACTAAAACAGAAGGGGTTACACGGTGTGGAAGAATTAGGAACAAAAATATTAATAATGAGTGGGAAGAAGAAAGAGTAATCAGGAGGACAGTAGATAGCGATTGACATTGCATTTAAATTTTGCAGATTAAAGTTGGTTGGAAAGCATGGCGCTGGAAGGGAGTTCCACAAGTAAGGCAGTAAAGCCACTAAGACACAAGGGTGTTACTGGGTGTGGAAGAATTAGGAATAGAAACATTAATAATGAGTGGGAAGAGAAAAGAGTAATCAGGAGGACAGTAGATAGCAATTGACATTAATTTTTTGCAGATTAAAGTTGGCTAGAAAGCATGGAGCTGAAAGGAAGTTCCACAAGCGCGAAGTGCGAGAAAATAAACTGTTAGCATAGAATTTCTTGGCATATCTAGCCAGCTCAACTGTAAAGTGATGAGACCTAGCCGCCAAATTAGTACTGCGCTTAAATTCATAAAGTCTAGGTGCCATAACAGAGAGCTCATCCGAACAATTACCATGAAAGTATATATAGAAAAGACACAGAAAGGCAACCTTATTTCAGTTGTAAAATGATGAGACCTAGCCGCCAATCTAGTACTGCCCTTAAATTCATAAAGTCTGGTTACCATAGCGGAAAGATCATCAGAATAATCACCATGAAAATATTTATAGAAAAGGCAGAGGGGAGCTACGTTACGGTGGTCATAAAGTGACTGCAACCGATCCGCCAGATCAGGACTAATAATATTGCTGATTCTTTTTGGATCTTATCAAGGAGCTCATATGAATAAGCAGGGGCACCAGGCCATGTGTGGCAGTATATATGGCAGCAATATTCTAAGCATGGACGAATGGTAGACTTATAGATATGTATAGAGTAGATGCTTTCATGGAAATTGTTCTGATTTGAATTTTTTCCCGACT